CGTTCTAAAGTCTGCGCCAGCATAGATAGAGCGGTGGCTGGAAAACTGGTTGTCACGCAACGGGTAGCTGGTTCGATTCCCGCACGGACCTACTTTCTATGTGATCCAAAAATTATTGTTTCAGGATTTTACGGGTTGCCGGGGCTCCGGCTCGGCGTACAGAAGTATAAAAGGGGTGGTTTTTAGTCAGTAAGACTGATACTGATACTTCCCTCTCGCCTCACCCGGGCGGGAGAAGGCATTGGATGATTTCGCCCCTCATTGTGTATGAAATTGTATCTTTGTAAACACACGACACAGGAGACGATCCTAGTTTCAGGCATTGTTTAAAAAATCTTCAGCTCAACGTCTTCTTAACACGAAGAATTCTCGAGATGGAAATATTCACCCATCTGCAAACCGACCTCACCCAGCGCAGCTTAACCTATTATAAATCTGAGGCCAGTAAGCAACTAGTTCCTTCGTTTAAATCAATACTACTCGTGGTGGTCCGAGGAAGCCTTATAGGTATGATGTAACCTATTTCATTTGGATACCCAATTATGTCAGAGTCGACTATAAGCTCCAAAATCAGCCATGAACTGTCACTGGCTGTATTAATTGTAGTCCACACTGGTGGACTATGGACCTCCTTTACATAAGAGGTTTGCTATAATCTCCTTGCTTTTTTTGAGGGGGAAAATCATCCAATGACTTCTCCCGCCCGGGTGAGGCGAGAGGGAGTATCAGTCTCTTACTGACTAAAAACCCCGTTCTTACTCCTGCATTTCGAGCCGGAGCTCCGGTAACCCGTTAAGTCTTCCAATTTTTAATTATTGTGTTAGTATTCTATTGTCACTATTTTGTTATATGTTGTCGTTTCTTTGTGTTTTTTTCTATATCTGTATAAATAAGTATATTTATTTGTTCTTTTCTTTTTTAATTTTGTATTTTTTTGTATCTGTGTTCGTGCCTACTGTCAAATAAATGATTTTTCTTCCTTCTTTCTTCTTCTCTTTCTTCCGCGGCATAATCTCCTTGCTTGGTCTTTACTAGGTTGGAGATCGCACTGATTACAGTTTAAACTGGTTTAGATTTATCAGTAAGCGCTGCCTTGACATCCATCGGTTAAATAGGTACTGTCTTAAGCCACGTTGCGTCATTTGACGCATGCGTGCAATCGTCAAAAACGATTGGCGGATTTAACTTTGCCATTTTGTTGACAGTTTTCATTATGTCTAAGCAAGATGCAAGCATTCGTCATTTGTAGGCCGCCTATTGTTTGGTAAGGATGTACGCATCATGACGCAACGTGGACTGTTACCTTTAATTAGCTCTTGGATACCTTTAGAAAGAGTAGCGGTTGTGACTTTTTCAGAAGCCAAATAATATTGCCCGCTTTAGATACCAGATTAAATACTTCTTGATCAGCGGTAGCGTTTGCGCCACTCAACCAATGATACCGTGTTGATAGTAATTCAAATACAATCAAGTAAATAAAAGAAACAAATGAATGTTACTTTCTCTTCCATTAAATTCTAATAGATAGTTAGATAATACAATTTTTGCATACACAGCTACTTATGTTAACATTCGACGCCATTATTATCTCAAATTGTTTGATTAACCATCAAAACTAATTATTATTTCTTATTCAACACTTCCTCTTTGAGTGAATGGCCGTAACTTGTTACTGACTGTGTGGTCTTGGGTTTAGTGTCCGAGTCGGCCAAAGCAACAACGTCACGCTTGCCTTCCATTCCACAAAGGAAGATACATAATTAGCAGCACTTAGTCGTCAACGGCCTGTTAGATCCTAGCTACAAAAAAGACTGCCTCGTTGGGCGAGTGGTCTCAGGTTCAATCCCCGGGTCGGGCAAAGTATTACTGGGTTTTTAAAAAAAATCTCACTCTGGAAATGTGTCCGGTATATGGCAATAGGCTCAGCTCCTATTACATGGGACTCATAACAGAAAAAGTGAAAAGTGGGTGTTACTTCTGTGTGCACCTCTGCCTATACCATCGGGGATAAAAAGGCGTGATGTTATGTTATGTTATGTAGAAAGACATACAAGCCAAGCATAGAGATTAGAAATAGGAATTTTGAAAATGATTTTTCGGTGCGGTCCGACCTCTGTTAAACGTATAGTCTTACAAATCACGGTAAAGAACTGGGACAATGAGGAACCCTTATATATGCTACAGGTCAACGGCATTAACGGTTAATATATTAATTGTTACCTAATATTTATCCCTACCTACTAAGAGAGCCGACTAAGGGAATACACATTTCATAGAAACCAGATAACAGCTCTCTTTGGTAATCCTGAACCTTTTAAACTAAGTGTGGGAGAGCCAAGCTTCGGCACAAATGCACCGGCTCGACCGGAGTGATACCACAGCCTTACAGAAACCGACGTGAAGCAACGCTTACGTTGTGTTTCGTCGTGTGAGTGAGGTTACCAGAGCGGAGGCCCAATTACTCTCCCTCCCCAGTCTCCCCAATCCCCGAATCGTTCAGAATTTTCAAATTCCCAATTCGGCCGGTAACGCACTCGTATGCCTTTGATGTTCCAGGTGTCCATGGGCGACGCCGATTGTTTACCATCAGGTGATCCGTCTGCTCGTTTACCAGTTTAGCCCATAAAAAAACTGCGATCTTCAATCCGCCTGGCAATTTAGAATTAACTAAAACACCGCGACCGCGGACGCTGCTTATGAGGAAGAACCCCTCTGTGGTCGAAACTAGTAGAGCTTTTCTCAGTATATTCACGTGAGTAACCCGCGATTTTAGTTAATTTAGTATGTGTCACTAGTTATTATAAAAACTTTAGAATTGTCAATTCGTTTTGAACAAGTTCGTCCGTAGTTAAGGCTCATACCTTCTTCATATCTGATGAGGCTCTTGCATAGCAATGGGCACTTTTATCCTAACGATGATGCTTTTAAATAGCATAACATTTTACTAGCAAGTTGCGTAATCTGACCAAGTAACTATTGCCATTTGCCGTGGGCTCATAATCCCTTGTTTAATTAGATTAAATAATGACACAATATGGAGTGACTGGCGGTAATCTTGTTATATTGTTGGCACAGGTTTGGGTGACGTGGAACCAACGTCTACGTAATATAATGTCATGTCATGTGTGTTTTTTTTTAAGGGTGGAAAATCATCGAATGACTGCTCCCGCCTGGGTGAGGCGGAAGGGAGTGTCAGACTCTTACTGACTAAAAACCACCCCGTTCCTTCTCCTGCACGTCGAGCCGGAGCCCCGGTTACCCGTTAGGTTCTCCGTGACTCCGATTTTAGGTTTTTGAAGTAATCCTAGAAATATTTTGTGAAAAAAGGGGTTTATTATTAACCACATCACGCCTTTTGTAGGCAGAGGTGCACGTTACGGCACTTAATGTCACTGTACAATATAACACCCACTTTTCAACATTTATGATATATGAGTCCCATGTAATAGGGGGTGAGCCTGTTGCCACATACCGGGCACAATTCCAGACTCCGTGCTAGTACTGATATTTTTTTTAAAAAACCCGATAATATTATGCTCGATCGAACGAACCCGAGACCCCTTGCTTGCAGTCGCTCTTGCAACCACTCGGTCATCGAGGCAGTCGTATTATTAAACACCTGACATAATTAGACTATAGCAATCCGAATGATATAGCAATTCAATTTATAATGAACAGTTTCAATAGCTATATTATAATACATTTGCTAATGAAGATAGAATTTTGACCTACTCTTTACACAAATGCGTAATTTATACAAAATAGAAATACGAATTCTATCTCTAGTTAGCAAATCCACAGATTGATAGGTTACTTACTTTGACCCCTGGCTTTGTTCATGTATTCCTGTTTTATCCCATATGAGTATTTAATCGGGATAAAGTATCCTATCACCTAAGTCAGCCCATACTCCTGTGCCAAAATTTCATAAATATCCATTTAGTATTTTCAGCGTGATTGACGGACAAACATACAAAGAAAGAAACGTTTACATTAATAACATTACTGTGATTGAGAATGACCGTAGTAGATAAATAAAATAATTATTATATTGTAGCTATTTATAAAATGAAAAGTAGGTCAGTAATATAATAAAATATAAATGTTTATTTTTCCTTTTATTACTTATCTTTTATTTTTAGAAAATAAAAGTAATAAGAAAATTATTTTACTTTTGAAGCCAATGATCCTAATTTAATTTAGGACCGAATTAGGCAAAACAATACGTATATAATTATTATGATCTGTAACACATTGTACCTACAATTTTATTAACTTAGATACATTGTTGCTCTGATTTCAAACAGTTAATGCACCAAAGAAGATAATTGCATCAATCTAAGCCAGATTTTTTTCTCAACACAATTCTACTAAAACCATTATTTCAACTTTGTCTATTATTCTACGCAATATATGCAATAAATCACCGGAACCTCGTATGTACGTACATATGTTAATAAAGAGCTAAAAACAATACTTAACCTTATCATTATAATTTATGAAACAAAACATGTATCGGGGAGACCTTGCTCGCGCCGCTACAGTACCGATCACATCTACCTTCGATATTTCGCGATTTCCACGAACCAACCAATTTGATAATCGAATATATTTACAGCTCGCATCATTAATTGTTCCCAATTATCTGCAGAATTAGAATGCGCGTGGCTATGCCGTAACTCCGGCGTGCTCGCATCGCGTGCACCACTCCCTAGCAGTGATAAAGCTAGCGTGTGTGTCTGCCCAACATTAATACACAGAATGTAACCTGTTTCCATATTATTGGTCATTATAGCCCTCGTACGTGCACTATATAGCGTCGCGTGGTCTGACAATGTCATCTCGTATCGTTTCCGAATGCTTCGCCTGTTACCGGCACATCCCCCCGATCTTATAAAAGAGTGTAGTTCGCGCCGCGCGCCCGCAGTCCACTCCGCGCCTCCGAGCGAGCAACGTCGCCTGTAATGCAATAGTGTGTCTAGTGTGTGCCACTTATCGACATGGAGGGAGCCACCCCTCCTAGCCACGGACTGCCCGAGCCTGACGAGGGCATCACCTCCGACCGCCGCCCATCCACCGACGACCATGCCGACCTCTCCGATAGTGCCTCGGACACCGGCTCTGGTGGAGGAAAGGATTCCGGCTGCGAAGTGGCCGCCGAGCCACAGGAACCTCCCTACTCTCCGCCTGACGACGAGTTAGCGCACAGGATCGTGTCACAAGTTGAGTTCTACTTCTCAGATGCAAACATTACGAAGGATGCCTTCTTACTGAAACATGTTCGGAGAAACAAGGAAGGGTACGTCTCCCTGAAGCTTATATCCAGTTTCAAACGTGTGAAGCACTTGACGAAGGACTGGAGGGTGGTCGCCGAGGCACTCAAGCGGTCTACAAAATTAGAAATCAATGAATTAGGAACAAAATTACGCAGAATCGACCCGCTCCCAGCGTACGATGAGACGACTCCGTCCAGGACTGTGGTGGCTGTCAGGATGCCGATAGAGCGTCCCTCAGTAGAGAATGTGTCGCGACTGTTCGCAGGGTGTGGCGAGATCGCGTTAGTTAGGGTGCTGCGACCTGGCAACCCCGTGCCAGCCGACGTGCGCCAGTTCCTCAACAAAAACCCCAGTTTGGTTAATTGTGTGTGTGCGTTAGTTGAGTTCACTGAATCTGAATCTGCGAGGGAAGCATTACGTTTACAAACCCCTGACGAAGATGGGATGCGAGTGTATGAGTTGAACGGTGTTCCTAGGGAGCCTAAGAGGAAGACTCCTATTCGACGGGCGCCACCGCGGCGTCACGAGTGCGAGTACTCGTCGTGCTGCAGCGGCTCCGAGGCGGAGTACGACTACAGATACGGGACCCCATTCTACAGGAGGAACTCGAGTGGGTTCTTCACGCCGCGGGCGGCTGAGATCCAGACGTGGGTGCCGCGGCGGCCGTCCACGTGCAGCCACAGCTCGGACTCGGGCGTGTCTTTCTACTGCAGCTCGCGGCGCACGTCGCAGGCCAGCACGGGCAGCGCCAGCAGCGCGGAGGGCTGGCTGTCGCGGCGGCTGTCGGGCTGCTCGGTGTCGGGCACGGAGTGCGGCGGCCGCCGGCTGTCGTGCGCGCCGCGGTTCGAGCCCCGGGCGCCGCTAGTGCCGGACGGCACGCGCGGCTTCCATGCCGCCGCCCGCCAGCGCCGCATCTCGGACCTCGCGCTCTACTCGCGCTAGAAAGCGCCCGCCAACCGTGACACCTTTCTAATCACGTTGGATAACCGCCTTTCACGTTCTGGCCGCTGGTTTTTTAATCTATTTCGCACGAGGAAGCGTCGCGTGTGTTCCGCGAACGTTTCCCTTGCAGAACAAACTGAGTTACCTTCTCGAACAATGTGATCATGCTCATTTAGTTGTAAGCCACGGAACGCTGTGTCTAGTTTCGTAAATCACTTTACATGTAATTTATTAGGACATTGTATTTATTAATCGCGTAATTTATTGCGTATGCGCGCGCGTCGCGGTCGAGTTTTCATTTCGAGTTATGTCAGAGTTGTGGGCACAAAATGATCACGCAAAATCGACATTCAGGCGATTGTAGACTCTGAGAGGAACATGTTAAGACCAGACAGATGTTTATTGGGACGGTGTTGCACTGCAGCGAGGCGAGCTAATGCTAGTAGTGCCGGCCGCTCGGCGAGGTGAATAACACGGACATTCCCCTGTACATCGGTGCAGGCCTCGATCTGTCAGCTGAGCGGTGTGTCGCGTGGCGTCGCAGGCAGTGCAACCTCGTCTCACTCGGAGTAACAGAGCGCGTACACTCGCAGAATGTATTACATAATGTAATTGCACACATTCTAAACTGCGAACTATTTCCTGTAAAAGTAACAGCCTCTCTTACTCCGAGTAACAAAAGATCCGCGACGCGCTATGGCTAACTTTTTTTTCATTTTTTTACAATTAAGTCATATTTTAACTTAAGTCAGTCGCCATTTGATGTTAACTGTCGTTTTATAATTAAGTCTCGTCGCTGTAAGTACATTGTGATGATTATGTAGTATCGGGTTGCGCAACCTTCTACTTTCTTGTGCGTTCTTTTTTTAATTTATTTTTTTTACTGAGCAGAGGAACGTTACATGCTTGTGACGGCACAACTATTTCGCTTTTTATTTTAAGTGACGTTGTGACTTTTTGATTGAACCTGCGTGCTGAATCTGAGACAAGAGAATAGTTTTAAAATTAGATTATTTTACGTATGTATATTTAGATTTGGTGCGTTGTAAAATTAATTTCAAAGTCACACAACCTCTGTATATTGTAATTAAAGAGATGATTTATTATAAAGATAATGATAATTATAAGAATTTTGGAGAAACTCGTTGTTTTATTGGCCTTGCTCGTGGAAAGTTGGTTCATGATCAGTTTGCCTTGACTGATTGATTCTCACGCTGCGCTGACAGATAGCATAGCGTTACACAAGCCTTTAGATTTGACGAGAATATCAGAAACGATCGATTCAATGTTAATAACATTTAACGTTATGCAAATATAATAGTCGATAGTCGAGATAATAACTCCTATTAGTGTCAGTTATTTTAATATTCCCGCAAAGATTTGTCCAATATTATGCGAAGCGTTGATTGATTTATTTTTATAACGATTCCTCCTTCCTGTTGTTGTTTATTAAAGTTTATTTACTTGTAATTGAATGTTTATGGAACAATTATGTTTATTTACGAGTTCCTAATGATATCATTTTGATTTCAAGGGCTACTGAGATTCGCATTGCCTTCCTTGATTAATTGAACTTTGAGTTTTATAACTAGCTATAATTAGGTAGTTATTTGTTTGACAACAGTTTTAATTATCATAAATCAGCTGAATTAATGGCAGCTTCCGAAGTAGTTATTTATGTATTTGATTAAAGTGCTTAATTTACTATCAACTCTATATCGACTGCCTCGTTGGCTGAGTGGTCGTAAATGCGACTGCCGGGCAAGGGGTCTCGGGTTCGATTCCCGGGTCGTGTAATTGTGCCCAGTAAATGACAATAGGTTCACCCCCTATTAAATGGGACTCATAACATAAATAGTAGAAAGCGGGTGTTACATTGTACAGTGGTATAATGTAACAAATAGTTAATTTTCAGTCATTTATTCAGGATGGAGCACCAAATCACATAATATGGTATAACATACTGACATACATATACGTATCAACGTTAATGTCAACAGCTCGAGACAGACCACTGCTCGACTATGGGCCTCGTCTACATAACATAACATCACGCCTTTTATCCCCGAAGGGGTAGGCAGAGGCATTATGACACTGTACAATGTAACACTCACTTTTCACTATCTAAGTTATGAGTCCCATGTAATAGGGGGTGAGCCTATTGCCATATACCGGGCACAATTCCAGACTCCGTGCTACTACTGGGAGTTTTTAAAAATCCAGTAATACTTAGCCCGACCCGGGATTCGAACCCGAGACGCCATGCCCGGGACTTGCGACCACTCAGCAAACGAGGCAGCTTCGTCTACATATGAAGATTTATCTAATTATCCAGGTAGGCTGTTATTAAAAAGAGAATGACTTATTTTGGGCTATTTGTGACAATTCCGATTCTAATTACGATTTAGACTGTTAGCAAACAAGTACGAAATAAATCTAGCATTTAAACAAGAGGCTCATCCTATATTACATAGGACTTTTTTTTAAGGAGCGGAAATCATCGAATGACTGCTCCCACCTGGGTGAGGCGGGAGGTAGTGTCAGACTCTTATTGACTAAAAACCACCCCGTTCCTTCTCCTGCACGTCGAGCCGGAGCCCCGGTAACCCGTTAGGTTCTCTGCGACATTACATAGGAATAGAGACAAATGTTTGATTAATAGGTGTGACTTAACACGATACACACAAAACCTTGATCAAAACTATGTTAGAAATAGCAAATAATTGTTCAATCAACATTTTTGAATACTCTGCCGATGTTCAAGTGTGCAAAAACTCAGTGTTATATAAACATTATGTGTTTAATTGTTTGTTATGGTCATTGGTCTTAAAGCCAGTCCATTCACTGTTATTTGGCGGCCATTTTCACGGAACACTGGTCTCTGTAGTATATGTTTACATAATGGCTTTTTCATGACATTCATTGCGAACCTTTCTCAGTAGTATAGCTTTGGTTGCAACTTTACAAGTTCAGAATGTAACGCTGTTTGCTTGACAAATGTGGACCTTACTCACTGATGGATTAATTTTAACCTTTTTCTAAATATCCTAGCTGTATGTTACATAGGTGCCGATTAATTGAGTAATTTTTACACAAAAAACACCACGCCTTTTATCCCCGAACGAGTAGGTAGAGGTGCACATTACGGCACCCAATGCCACTGTACAATGTAACACCCACTTTTCACTTTTTATGTTATGAGTCCCATGTAATAGGGGGTGAGATAATTGCCATATACCGGACACTTTTCCAGACTCCGTGATACTACTGGTTTTTTTAAAAACCTAGTAATATTTTGTCCTGCCTGGGAATCGAACCTGAGACCCCTTGCCCGGCAGTCGCACTTGCAGACCAGACATTTGAGTGGACCTAGTTTAGTGTAGTTTTACTATAAGTACTTAAATTTGATTTTAGTGGTGTTTGAACTTAAACCTTGGAAAGTGCGTAAATATTTCATCTTTTTCTTTTTTTTCTTTTTTTTCTTTTTTTTTTAAAAACGTTGCCCCACACTAGGATTATCTCCTGTGTCGTGGGTGCGTTTACAAACATACAAGTACACATACACATGACACCCAGACCCGAAACAACAATTTGTGGATCACACAAAGTGTTGTCCCGTGCGGGAATCGAACCCGCGACACGTTGCACGGCAGCCGGTTGCCCAGCCACCGCACCAACCGTGCATCTGTATTTGGTCTGCTAGGTATAGGTACCTGTAATGCATCTGGAATTGCATACCAATGGTCCAAGGTTAAAGACCATTGGTTTAAATTAACTAAAAATCGCGGGTTACTCACGTGAATATACTGAGTAAAGCTCTACTAGTTTTGAACCACAGAGGGAGTCTTCCTCATGAGCAGCGTGCGCGGTCGCGGCAATGTCGCGCAGCCTACTGAGAACTAGTAGAACTTTTCTCGGTACTTTCACGTGAGTAACCCGCGATTTTTAATTAATTTAGTCTCGCGATAGTTATTATAAAAACCATTGACCTAACTTCAATCATTTATTTGACTTCTGCATATGAGAGGAGGCGGAGGCCTATATGTCTATCAATCAGTGGTGTAACTATAAGGTGGCAAGTGGGACTGGGATGCCGTCTCCTCCTTTTGCGAAGCAGTCATGCTAGCTAAGGAGGAGGCGGGACGCGTGAGGCAGCGAAGCGCTGTCTCCGCAACCCAGCCATCGCGAAGGACACGCCGGGCGTCGGGGATCGCGGGACGATCTCTGGCCACCGTAAGCGCGGGCCTGCGGACGGCGAGCATAGGTGGCTCCCCGTCCGACCAGAAACAGACCCGAGCGTACGGCGCGTCGCGTCCCGCGCGCGCCTCTAAGAGCCATCAGACCACCGCAGATGGGGCCCAATAGGGACGATGCCGATTCGGAGTCGCGGAGAACCTAACGTGTAACCGGGGCTCCAGCTCGACGTGCAGGAGAAGGAACGGGGTGGTTTTTAGTCAGTAAGAGTCTGACACACCCTTCCGCCTCACCCAGGCGGGAGCAGTAATTCGATGATTTTCCCCCTTAAAAAAAAAGTTGGCAAAATACTGCGGGACCCGAGCTGAAAGGGTCCTTTCTCCAGAGGGGAGAGTTCTGTCTTTTTTACAGGGAAGAGAGTGCCCATCCGATGAATTTGTCACAGGCCTCTAACGGTATACTTACGTCACTGCCAGCAATGGGACAGTTGTAGGCTGTAGACAAATTAGTTCAGGCCAATCGCTGATCATCACTTACCATCAGGCGATACGTAAGCTTCGTTGCTACTGTTCGCAGTTAAAAAACCTAAGTTCACCTATAATATAACTACGATCGTGTGTGCTGGTTTCAAATCGATTGTTACCACGTAACAATTAATTACTTGCATAAGATAATCGAGTGCTAGTTACCGTTGCTCTATTAATGTAAAGTGATTTTATTCTATGAGAGATTTTTCTTTAGTATAGTTGCTAACTTGAATGGTTATTGGTTGTCATGGTAACGTGGTCAATATAATATTGTTTGAC